GCACGCTTTCTAAAAACCGGGAAAATAACTGACTCGCCCCGGGAAGAAGACGCCTTTTCTCCATGCCTAATTTTGGAGAACAATGAGGTTAGCTAGCTAATGATAACTGAGCCTCCATACTTGAACAGCTCCGGAGAAAGTCCGTCTGAACCGGCAGCCTTGAATCGTTTAAAGTGTCAAACGGCAGGACAAACTTCCGCTTCGCTGGGTGGATCAAGCGTGAGGACCCAGGATGGGTAGCTGGGTTCGCAGGGCATATAAGTGCGTGGTGAGAGCCAATTAAACTGGGAAGGAAAATTTTCGTCCCATCGGTCCAAGTGTCTATTTAAGTTTGAAATCGGCGAACCATCCGCTTCGCAGGTAGTTTCGCTGACAAAAGGCTTTCTGTGGCCAGTGGATCGAGTGACTTGGAAGGACTTGCGATTATTGCTAGACAGGGCAGCGGCCTCCATTTCCAAAGCAAACCGGGACCACCAGGCTTCACGATCACTGCATGGGATTTGTTTGAGCTGCTGACTGACAGAACGGCGCAGTTCATTAGGATTAGACTCTGCTGGGATATTTCTACGTTGAGCAAGTAGATCCAGGGAGCGTTTGGAGATCCATATCTTCATAGGGTGCTGAGTAAAACCACACTGACTGCCCAGAAGAGATCATGGTCCAGTGCATGAACGTCCAGTATTCATCAATATCCCGCAGTGGGTCATAGCCGAATGCACTGGCCAAGTAAGCTTGAAAGCTCTGCTGAACCGAGACTGTAGATAGTTTGTAGCTAACTTACAGTGCTTCTTTTTTGGGGACCCTCTGAAACTCATGCAGATGTTCGCACAGACAAGAGCATGGTCTGAGTCAAGAAAAATGGACCAGATGGATCTGCAATCCTTTACACTACCCCACCGTCTGAAACTGATTGCGATATGATCAATATGAGGCCATGATTAAGACGCAGAAGGGGGTCGCTAAGTAGCGGAGTGTTTTCTCAAACACAGAAAGCTGGTGCTCGAGAGAGACAGATGGTTGTCTTCGCACAATATGAGAAGTCTCTCCGGTAGCTGTACGACTCTCCTCGAGCGCATGGTGACCTATCCATGCGTTGAGATCCCCAGCCATGATAACAATACCGGATTTACAGACTCTGCTCAAGAGCTGATGAAGTTCACGATAGAAAGCGTCCTTGACGGAGTTGTAACTGAAATCGCTAATCTCAGCACAATTGTGGATAGAGAGTGGACCTGTTCACATCTAGTTCATTTTTTCAAGGCTTCCATCATAATGTATTCCACTAGTGCAAGGGAGGTAAATTCCAAGTAAGCACTATGCAGTTAGTGAAAATTTTCTCCCGTGGCCACCTCATTTCATTTGCAAAAAATTGCAATAACACTCTGGAAGATAAGGTTAGAAATTGCTGCTCACTGGTATTAATTTCGTTTGCTGGCAGATTGATGACCCATTCATCGCACTTATATTTACCCCAGTAGAATTCCATTTTACCCCTTTGGGGGTAATTACCCCCAGGTTGAGTACCCCTGGTCTAAGCGGACTGCCACATTTATGGGGCTTCGGCAGCCCGTATAGCTGAGGCAGAGGCGTAGCATAGGGAGGGCGGGGAGGGGGCGGTCCGCCACGGGCGGTATGTGACAGAGGGCGGCACTTTTATAATAGATAATTGTTCGGTACCAAGTGTATATGCATCTAAGTTACTTCCATTGTAAAAATGAAAGTTGATAATCTCGCTGAGACCGAAGATGAAATTGCTACAGCGAACGTTGATATCTGAGTAACAGAAAGCGATTTGGTAGCATGAATGCAGCGGAACATTTTTGTAATGTTGTTGCAGAAGATGCGCGCGAAATCGAAGAATTGGAAATGCAACCATACTTCGGCACGATGACACGCAGAGTAACCGATTTTACGCATGTCACTCAGTGGTCTGTTAAGGTTGACCATGAAGTTCTCATTTGCATGTCCGGCTCTGAGCTATTGTCATGCAGCACGTCGATCATGAATACCCAAAGTGGTGCTACCTGGAATGAGGCTAAGAAACTAACAACGAACTGGTTTTCTCGGGATTTGCAAAACGGTGAACAAAGATTACGAACACGGATGGTGTATTCTCCTTCAAAAGAGGCCCATTTTGGTTTCTGCTACATGATGTCTTCAACCGGAAATTTTAGTTCTTCGACTGATGAGGGTTTCAGAAATTGGTGGAAACTAAATCCAGTAGCATGTAAGTACGAATCTATAGTAAATCGCCTGCTTAGTCATAACTCAACCGCAAGGAGCTGGCGATTCCCTAGTTGAAGTAAAGGACAACATGGAGTCAGCACAAGTACACAGAGGTGGCGTGGAATTCCAACTAGAATATTTGATAGTGTTAGTTTCCTCGCTAAGCAAAACATGACACTGTGTGGTCACCGAGAAGATAAGGGAAGCCCGGAAAAGAAAGGGAATTTTTCAGAATTTGTACATTTGCTGACAGTTCAGCTGCGAAAGATAATCCGCAAATTTTCATTCTCGCCACACGTTCAAAATGAATCAATGAGCATTTTAGTGAGGCAGATGATAAAGAAAATCACAGGTTAGGTCAAGGAAAGCAATTAGGTTTGCTTAATGTTTAATAACACTCCCGACGTATGTCACAAAAATCAGACGAGTGAAAATGAACTGACGGTAAATGAGTCGTTTCTCAGCGTCGTTTAGACCAAAAGCAAAAGGGCAGAGGGAATTTCTGGACGGGTTTTGAGAGAATCAATGAATGAAGGAATTTAGATTGACGGCTGTCGTGGCCAAACATCCGACCATGGTGCTCTTATAGCGCGCTAACGAATAGGTATCCAGAGACGTGTCTGTGAAATCAGCTCAAAGTCTTCATGTTTGTCATGCCCAAACCTTTCTCTGTGTTTAAGCAGCTACTGCGACGGTTCATTCTGTTGCATTTTTGGTGCGACGAACCGGCTATTATCATTCCTTTTTCATCTATGTATTATTTGAATGTCTTGATCCAAGTCACCGGTATAAGTATCAGGTGAGTAAAATCTAGATATAGTCGAGCAGGTGCTATAAATATTGTGATGAAGGACTACTCGGAACTCGCCACTTCTCTGAAACATTTCACAGCATAAAGAGAAAATTCAAAGCGGCATGGGAAATTGCTGGACTGGCTTTGAGGGGACTAGAGAAGGATGAAATATTCAGATTGATGGCTGCCTTGGCCGCGCATTTCACAACGCTGCTGTTATGGTAGGCTGCCGAGTGGGGGCGCAGAGACACATCTGCGAAATCGATCCAAAAACTACATTTATGTCATACACAAACCATTCCCTGAAGCTGGTCTGCGTACATCAAGCTTCTGAGACGGCTCATTCCGTTTTATTTTCGGTACAATGGAACAACAGTTCTCATTCCTTTTTTATCCAAAGATTGATAGTTTGTCTTGATTTAAAGCAGCAGTATAACTATTAAGTGGATGTAAACTCAATATGGAGTGGTCGAGCAGGCGCTGTAAATGTTGTGAAGAAGAAATACTCGGAACTCGTCAATACTCTGAAACATCTCACAAGATAAAGAAAAGATGCAACCAAAAGATCAGATGTATTTTTACTTCTCAACTTGGTGTTGTTGTTTATTTGTTGATGGTATTTCTGAGCCATTGGACATATACTCTCATTGAAGCTAAGGATGCATAGATATGCCTAAACAAAAAGGCTGGGTATGTCGCAAAGTTCTGTCAAGCACACAACACTCGGAGTTCGCGTTCTTCAGAATAGAGAGAAATTATTGAACATTGCCACGGATGAATCCGAAAACACTAGGCTGAATTGAGAATAAGCATGAAGTGTCGAATCCGCCAAAAAAGGAATTCACGGTGACGAATTGTTTGTTATACTGATAGAATTCGATGCTGAGGCAAGAAGGTGAAATGCTGGCTGTCATATATATTTTGACTGATGGAATGTCATGGATTTCAGCAATGTCATGACCTTGTAAACAAACATGTTATTTTTACATGTTCAAATATGATTGATGATAACTATGGTTGCACGCTTAGCGAAGTTGATGGAGATAATAATATAGGAATTACTTGTCGAAAGCAGAAGATTACAGCATATTGTGAAAGCTTCACGAAACGACAAAATTAATGGACCTTCTGAATTGTTGAGTTTCACATAGAAATAACATCTTGATAAATCTGCTACGCATCTATCTTATTCGAACCGTTAGCATTGCAAATTGTGAGAGCGCATTCTCAAAACGCAAGCTTATAGCGAACTACCTTCAATCATCAATAAACCAGAAAGTGCTCATGGATTGGCAGTTCTCCCCAGAGAGAGGAAACTTGCTAATGGACTGTATTTTGATGTTGTTATCATTACTTTTGTCTTGAGTAATGCAGGAAAAGTGTGTTTGGGAATTTTGTTCATGAGTATTGTAACAATACAAATGTCTGCATTTACAGAAGCAATCTTACAGAAGCAATCTTTAATTGTTATTTGATGAAACGAAATTTTTAAGGGCTGTTCGCAATTGTGATAGCTTACGGATATACAACTGCCAGGTGGTCGGCAATTTTACGTCCACTCCGGGCGGCAAAATTAGTTGCTATGCCACTGAGCTATCTTGAACTCTTCCGGTTTTAGATGTTATATACGGTTTGTAGACTATGGTCATAAAATCGAATTCTATGATGAACCTACGTGTTCCGGCTTCGGTTTCAAAGATGATTACTCGAAATATAACACTTAGAATACATCTTATTAGAACACATCGTATTAGCACCCTAAGCCCACTCCGGATACCCAAATGATGAGAGCGACTGTCATCGCGCGTGACTGATAAGTACTCATCTACGCACTTACGGGGGTTGCTTTGTGCGCTCAGCGCAATCTCACCCCACAGGGGTGTGATTACTGCTCAAATCTCATTGGTCCTGTTTGAGAGCGGAACTCACACTAACCAAACTGTCGCTCCCTGGAAGAGCGCATTTATTCAGGTTAAGACTTGTTAAACAACCTCGCTACCCAATTTGTCATGGTTTCGCATTTGACGGAACATCCCTTCTCCGTTTCTAGACTGCTTAATAATGCAGGAAAATCGTCATTTAAGATTCACGTACCTCATTCTCCGTCTGTTTCTGCAACGCAGCAACCATTAATATACATCGTCAATGAAATTGCGCAAAACCATACATCCGTTTTGAATTCTGATGAGTTTGGCAGCACGACGCAGGATCTAGGTACCACAAGACTCGCCCAACATCCAAAGAACAGTTGCAAAACGAGCTGCAAGCCCGGGAAGCTACCGACGAAAAGTGTGAAGGTTAGCGACAATGTGGCGGCAACCTCCGCTACAGCGCACAAGCTTGGAAAAACCGTTGAGCACAAGACACCAGTTTCCAATGAATGCGTGCGTAAAACTGGAATTCAGCCAGAAGTGGAAGTAGGATTGGTGTTACCCAAATACATACCGGCGAAACTTGACCTCAGATTTCGAAAACACTATCACCAGCCCCCTTCCTTGTCGGCGGTGACCAAGTCCTCAGCATGGGAGCGACAACCTGAACAGATTAAGAGTGAGCGCTGCTTAGCACCCGCTTCGATTCATTCGAAACACCCTGCGGACGTTGACATTAGTCCAATCCAGATGAATATGCGACCCAGACATGCGAGCCTACTTCCGGTGGAAATACCGTTGTCCCCTGGAACGCGAGCTGAGTTGAATCGACTCCCGCCGGTGTTTGGGCATCTGTTCGCCTCCACGTTGCGGATGAGCGAAGCTGCTCAATGGTACAACCAGGCCATGATGTTACACTGTTTTGAAACACATGGTAAGAGGCACTTTGATCAACAGATTAAAATATTCTCCATGTTATTCTTTACCTAATGCCTTATTGTTTCGCAGCTTAGTGCGGATAAGAAGTTGGTTTTCGTTAGCTTCTGTTTTACCTACAGCTAGACATTCCCCAACTATTCACCATCTGGATAACCATTTAAACTAAGGGTGGTGTTTTTCAATCATTTCAATGCGATGAAATTATCTCATTGACTCAGTAGGATTTTTTAAATTAGCCTTAAGGTCAACATACCCGCACAATTCAGACGCACGAATGTGTGATATCAGCCAACTTTCTGTTTTTTTGTAGTACACTTCTACGCTGCAGGTAACGATGTCAAATCCTATAGCCAACTAAAGAACACTACACACCAAGTTTAGAACACAACACCACCAGAAATGGGTTGTACTACACCTGTTGCGTAGCCGTTCACATTGGACACATCAGCATTCCATAGTGATCAGCCCCTTCGCTACAGGCGGTTAGTCAGTTTCTCGAGTTGATTCATAGTAGCGGATAAGCGTGCAGCGATTGCAGGAGGGACTGCACCACAGACTACATCCCATCGGACTGATTTTGTGGTTCAGCTAGCGAAGTTGAAAGATGGAAGCAGTGGTTAATCTGAATTCTGCCGACTCAAGTCCAACACCCACTGGGCCTGTGTCTAGCATGTCTGCATGCGTTTTACTGATCCAACGACGAGGATAGCGTGGACAACTCAGCTCAAATTAAAGTGGAGAATAAACATATACACGACTAACTCTAGTGACCAAGCTACATATTAGCGGGGATCCTTTGGGTGCTTTTGGAGTAGACGTAACACACAGGACTGAGAGTGTATGCGGTAATCTGGAAATTCGAAAATGTTAACCGCTTCCTTATCATACGCAAGTTCAAGTTCAAGTAGGAAAATCTTGCGAATGTTCCACCTTCGAAAACATCGTTGATCCAACAGGGAAACCAGTGCATTGATGTGCCAAAGGAGAGCCAAATCAATACACACGATTCACATGGTCAACCAAACAATGCACACGTGCCCTGCACTAGCAGTCCCCGCTGTGCCGACCACGTGAAGAATAACAGAAAACAGTAGTGTCAGTAAAGGAAAGGAAACAGAGGAGAAGACAAGCTTATCGCATTTCGTAGGCAATATCAAAATGTGAGTTACAACGAGTTCAAGAAGCGTAGGACGTAGTAGACAAACAAAAGCTTGACTTAAAGAGGAAGACTTTAAACTGCAGACTGAAAGCGCCAACTAGATGCTCGGACTCTCACCGTCGGTGCCATCACGACGTCTGCAGGCAGTGCGTTCCAGTAAGCTATGACTCTACTCGATAACCGAAAAGCTGCTCAAACCCGGTCAGTCCAGGGTTTGCGCAACTTTAATGGGTGGCCACGAAGGGTTTGCGCTCGAGTTGGGCGAAACAGTCCAGTCAAATCGGGACCAATCTGACCCATCAGTATACGATATGTGAGGACCAAGTCGCCCCGAAGCCGCCTGTAATACAGGGAAAACATATCTAACTTACGTAGCCTCTCCGGGTACCTCAGCTTCTTTAATCTGTGCACCATTTTCTTCCCGAACTGCAGGATGCGTTCAACTGCCATCTGATCTTGCGTTCGCTACATCTTTCTAATGACGGATTGGTTATTCATTCTCGAAGGCGGCGCATTTAAATTTTATGCTGCTACCGTTACTCGGTCGTATCTAAACGACGTGGCAGGTCTGGAAACGTCATCCAGCACCACAGCGTTATGTGAATACCGTGGGTGATCGGTGCGACCTAGTTGGCAAATACTGCTTTATTACTGTGGTTCAGGTGACAGTTTCAGAATCTGCTGGATTCAACTTGATAGCGTTATGGACAATCTTGAAAGGTCTATGGAGGAATTGGAAAGCGCTATAGATTCGATTGGTTGAAAAAAGGCATAGTGGGACCCGAATAGGGGAGCCCTGATCAAACTTTTGTGGTGTTACTGGGTTTCTAGATAGATCTGGAAATTTAAAGCAGTTAGTTCCCTTCAACAATTTGAAAAGCAGGGAAAGAAGACGAAGGCTGGTAGATATCTATGCATATGGGTTATTGTTAATGATACTGAGGAGACAATACGAAACGCATGCATGTACCAGCCTTCGTCTTCTTTCCGTGCTTTTCAGACCTGGAAATATTAATCTTTTACAACTACAGAACATGTGTATCGACATCTAACTGTCCACACGGTGTTGGCCTCGAGGTACAAAATCACAACAGCACTGAACAAACAACCGAAAGGCGACTCGACAACTGGATGTGCCAATTTTTACATAGCTTTGTACATACAGAGTAGGTGCGGGGATCATGTCAGTGCTGAGGTTTGTCACTAGGTTGCCAAAGTTTCATTGCGTATCTATTTGTAGGATAAGTAACTGGGCACCTGAATAGTCATTCGGAGCTACCAGCGTTTTAAGTCATCTTAGGCAAAATGTGTTATTTAGCAACTATTTATCGATTGTTAGATCCAACATCAATCGGTCCCATTTTTCAAGGGATTCTCTAGTATTATGTCTTATACACTGAGTAGCTAGACCGGCTTAATCTGTGACAAGTTAAATTGTGTGTTTTCGTTTTCAGCGAGACACGCCTGTGACGACATGTTCAGGTGAATAAAAGCATTTTTGTACATCGACCACAAATGATCGAAAAATGTATATCAGTAATGCAAATCGATTTTCGATTTTGATAGAGCATAAAGTTGATTGTTGTTTCAGTGTGTTATCTGATATTCCATAGAATATCTATATCCGGATTGGTAACCCTCTTAAGAATATGAATACAGAAAGCTTAAAAGATGATTTTGGATAATAGGAAAATGAGTGTAACAAAAGTATAATGTATGCCTACGTGTTCTTTAGGCAGAATACGAAGGTTGCTTTGCTCAAGGCTATTCAGTAGTATCGGATATTAGTTGTAGCATGCACATGATAATGGAGAGAAGCGCTTAGAAAAGGAATATGTCGGCGTAGACTGCAATCAGAGTTATGAGAGCATCGACGATGTGTATGCAAAATATAGAGGCGTGTTCAATGAACAATGATTTATAACGGGGAAAATACCAGGTGCTTGACATGTCCCGCAGATTGTTTAGAGTGAGAAAGGATAGATCAAGAGATAATGGAATCGTCAGTTCGGGTGATTGCAGATTTAACTGCACTGCCGCATAAAGGGTTTGAAATTATAATGTATGCACACAAAGCCATATGGGGAGTGGTTATTGATCACGTAATGAGCGAGAAAAGTAATAAAAGATAGCAAGGACAACGCTTACTCGTCTGCAACTATCTTGGGTCGACGAGATACAGAAATCCAGCTTCTATAGTAGTAGCATTTATCAAATTTTGTGCAAGGGGTTTGGAGTGACTCATTCTCGAGTAGGGTTATGGCACTATCCCCTGTCTGTTGTGCATTAGTGCCAGCATCTGGTGGTCATGGGCTATAGCACGTAATGTAAATATGACAGAGTATCGTCAATGCGTTTTTTGAAAAGGGATAGGGTTGGTGCATTAATTACATGTTCCGGGAGGGCGTTCCAAGGCTGTGACACTCGAAGGGAGAAATAGTTTCGCCGACATTCCAGGCGGCTGTACTGCGTGACCAGCTTAAACTGGTGACTTCTTAGCGGGGTGTTTTGACTGAGTATTAGAAGGGAATGGCATGGGTGGTTGGGTTTCTCAGGATCTGGTACATCATTATGAGATCGCCCCTTAGACGCCGATAACGTCCACTGTATATTTTGTGAGTACCCAGCCTGAGTGTGTAGGGGAGGCTGGTCAAACCTCTGACGCTCTTCGTTGCCCTACGTTGTGCAGTTCGTTTCTTTTCCCCAGTACCTACTTGCTGTTGATAACATTGGGGTTACTAAAGGCGTGTAGGAGGAAGAATGATGATGAAGACGGTGAGTGTAGAGGCTTTCCCACTCGGATATTCACTCTCTGGGTGTAGACTGTTTTCCGTGTCAAATGAATCCTGAATCTTGTTCGTGTGTTTAACTACTTGTTACGTGATATCGCAATAGTTGGATCACGTATTACAACTCAAATAGTTGCATGTCTTTTGCGAAATTCATGCTCTGAATTACACGCTATTAAAAAGGGTAATTTGTTCGTAGTTATGGCATATCTGGTAAGGAAGAAGTTGGCGGATCTGGTGATTTTCGACCTGCATTCTACTAGAGATTTTTCTTTATTTCATGTGCTGTATAATGATGATTGTATTATTGCCATGTTAAGGTTGGAAACATGTATTTTCTAGTACAGGATGTTATAAACTATGGATTAGGTTGTGCTTCATTCGCCTCAACCAGATGGCCTCAAGCTTGAGTTTGCCACATCGCTCCGAATATTCTAGTTTCGATGATGTTACTAATAAGCGCTTTGTGAATGTTCGTTGTACCTTTCCTAGTACAACGCCTCCTCGTTTGTTTGCACTGCCGTACACCATCGAGCAGTATTCAAATAGGGGACGTGGAAGTGATGAATAGGCGCAGTGTATAGATATTTTATGATGAAAGTGCTAAGTAACATTCCAATGTTCTGTCTGGCCTTTGCAGTGACGTAGGCTACTTGTTCGGAGAAGTTGAGTGAGCATGAGTATCTCAGTCATCATCAGACCTCTCCCTTTGTAATGAACTGCGGTTGATTTCGTCCCGTAACCGTTTAGTATGTGATACATTAAGGTGAACAGATTGTGGTTATGATAATCGAGCAGAGTTAGATATAGCGTAATGCTAACACCACATTCCATAATGGTTTTCGTCCTCGCTTGAGTTCATCAGATAGCCATAGCTCATGATTGGCGGCGTCCGGTTCCGGAGTTATCTGCCCCTGGGCCCGGCCACAGAACGCTTGAGCCTACAGAGCGACAATGGATGGCTTGCACTGCACCACCCACTATTCCATCCACACACCCCGTATCGAGTGTAAACCCGAAGGAGTAAGACTGGGAGGCATGTGGATG